GTTTAGGGTTTAGGGCCCAAACTCCAAGTATGACCCTTGATAACCTCCTGTGATCCTCCACTATATTTTCCCCCGTATAACCTCTTTAAAGAGTTTAGACTACAGTTCATGTGGGAAATTATGCAGCGCGTTTAGATCCCTTTAAGGTGCTTGTAGGGAATTCGGGAATACTGTTAAATCACTTGAAAGGCTAATAGGTTTGTAGGGGTAGATTTAAAACCCTGAAAAGTCTTGTAGGGAAATAAGGGTGCCATCCTTTGAGGGGCTTAAGGGGAAATAGAAATGAAACACTTTTAGATCCCTAGAAGGGGCTTCTAAGGGAATGGCAATATTCTTAGGGTTTAGGGGTTTAGCATTTTAGGGCTTAGGGTTTAGGGCTTAGTTTAGGGTTTAGGGTTTAGGTTTTAGATCCCTTTACGGGGCTTGTATGGATTTTGTGTTCAGGATTTAAAGGTTGCGGATGAAGGTGTTTAGTTTCGCAATAGGCGTTGCATGGGAGGGGACTGTAAGCGGAAATGTTGAAGACTGCGCCGGATTCGTTTTCAAAAGCTCCCACGCGACAATGTCAGAACATCTGCCATCAATGGAACCTGCAGTGAGTGACGCGATCAGCGGTAACTGAGAACCTCCGAAAACAATCATGAAATGATGACAGAACAAGTGGGAGAAATCAACTTCCCCCCTCTGCTCCAACCAATGATAAGACTGATGAGGATGATGACGGCAACACAGTGACAACCAGGGTTTAGGGTTTAGGGTTTAGGGCCAACAACTGTGACTGCACGAAAATGGGCAGAATCAATGGGTGGGATTCCAGCACTAGCGGTGCTCATAGGGGGGGGTTCTCAGAATTGTGGCCCTAGGGGACCTTAGGGACTTGCAGGATACATGGGATATGGGATGTATGGGTTGTTCCCAAAGATATGGGCCCCTTTTGGTTACAAACTCTCTTATGGCACCTAATAGTTAGGGGTACCAGAATGGGACCCCAATTCTGGGAACTACCCATACGAGGATTAGAAGGGGGTTGTTCGTGTCTTATATTATGGCACCCTGATTTTGGGAACTACCCATATAAGGATTAGAAGGGGCGTGTTCGGGTCCCTGTTAGAGGCTATCCAAGGATTATGTTGAGAAGCTCCCATATCTGTTGCAGGCCCCGATTGTGAAGACCTATCACGGTCCAGAGACGCGAACGTGACATGCTGACGGCTGTGAGGAGAAAACGGGCACGGCCCAACTGTTGAGATCCAACAGAACCTGTTCTAAAGACACCCTGAGCGCAGAACCTTCAATAAATCCACACACAAAATTTGCACAACCCATACGCCCCAAAAAATGATGTTTGTCTGACCTGTTTCGCCCCTGGCACTCCCATGATTTTGAGATGGCCTAATTGCCCTGAGACTTGGCCCAAGAAGCTCCAGTCAGTACATTCACAGGAGGCACACTTCAACAGCGATTTCTGTAAAGAACCCCAGGAAGACTGCTTCCGTTGTCAGATGAGGGCGAAGGAAGCACGTACGACTCTCTTCTTCAGAGCTCCACTATCCCTACTCGCATGACTGGGTTGCTGTTAAGGAACTTAAATTAAGTTACTATCTTGGGGAAACCCTATTATTTGCTATATATACCCATTATGGTAACTTAATTTAAGTTCCTTAACAGCAACCCAGATGAAGGCTCACGGAGCAATACAAGTACAGCTATTGATCTCAGAGGTGAACTCGGGTTATGTCTGTAACTTTTCCACCTTTGAGTCAAAGTCAACCGCCGTATGACTGCGCACAGTCTTCCTTCTTTACAAAGACTGTACATATTCATGTCCCCGTGGCCCCAAATCCCGGTTCAACCCCTGCAACCCGCGCGCAATCACCCCTAAACCTAAAAACCTAAACCCCTAAACCCTGAACCCTAAATCCTAAACCCTACGATTGGCACCTCCAAGTTAGTATACAAACTGAACCTGTGGCGTTTCTTGGAACAACCCCTGTAGAGCCCATGATCCCCCGTAATGCCCGTAGACTCTAAGCTCTATAAGGAACTGGTTTAGGGTTTAGGGTTTAGGGTTAAGGAACTGATGTTTTGAAAAACCCTGTCGTTTAGTGAGTGACCTGAGGTTTCCACATTCCCCCGGAATTGGGGCTTGGTATGCCTGCATGTCGGCGCATTGAGGACATAGTGTTCAGAATTCACGTTCAGAAGGGTCTTAAAATTACGTCTATGCATATGGGTGGGAGGACGTAGTGTTCCGGATCCGGGTTCAGAAGGATGGATCGAAAGTCCGATTGAACTAGACCAGCTACAAAGGAAGTTAAGGATTCAGGATTGGGACTAGGATTACGGTGCTTAGCGAGATGGTTCTTAAAACACATGGGTACTGCGGGAAGCACATGAGGACTAGAAAAGGTGGACCTTTACCATTAGCGCGGCAGGAACGTCGAGAAACCCGCATACTTACTTTCAGGCTCGAGGGGCATAGTTAGCAGCAATAAATAGGGTAGTTCCCAAAATTAGGGTCCCATTTTGGTACCCCTAAATATTAGGTGCCGTAGTATAATCTATAACCAAAAGGGGCCCATAGTTTTGAGAATCACACAATAGGATATAATAGGATTATTCCAGAACCGTAGCGGCAGCAACCCCTGCAATGGCAACTGATTGCTTGAAACATCTGTTTCTGCCAACAACGTACAAAGTCACTCGTTCCTCCATGAATAGACCCTACACTTTATAAGCATTGGTTCCATTTGTTTCTTTTCCATTTTATTCTCCACTTAAAATCCATTGTAGGGGCCTACACCCTGGCACCAACGCCAAATTCAGAAGTTAAGTCGGCATTTCGATGTTTTTTTGGCTGTTGCCAAGCCCTGGGCACCCTCCATACAAACCTAGGCATCTCTGATGGACTGAGGTGAATAAGGACCCAAGGCTTCTCTAAACAGTGGATCGGCATTACGAGTTTGTGGTTGGCTGTGCCGACCGCCTGCTCGGCCCGTTGCTCGATCAACTCCTGGTGGGCGGATTTGGGGTTTGGAGGGCTTTTTGCTAAACGCCGGCCCTTCTACCCACTCATCCAACGGTCAAAGACTTCCAGGTTAAGGGTTTTGGATTTGGTCTCTGAGGCAGGGCATGGGATCGGGGTCACCGTCCCTTCTTTGATCCTAAGCTGCACCTACAAAAGATGTCTGCCGTAAACCCATGACAGATCAAGTGCATCAGCATAGATGCAGACCGAGGCACTAGTATGCTTTTGGGAGCTTCAACAACACCGATTGCCTTAAGAGGTGCAAGCGTCACTTCAATCCAAAGTTGACAGGTCAGTATAACGAGATTTATCCCAATCCAGGACCAAGGTGAAGTCATACTGAATGCCCATCATTTGAACCTGTTTAGGGTTTGGGGTAGAGGGCCTAGGGTGGTGCATGGAAACGTCTGTCCTCCTTCTTCGAGTCCGCAAGCATACCAAACATAGCCTGCCAAGCAGGCACTTTAGCAAGTTCGCTTTGGGAAGGCAGGTATTCTGGTATATGAAGGCCGAAACCCCTATGTATCCTCTTCAAGCCCTTAGCTGTTGAAAACCCCAGCCCAGAAACCCATACACCCTAACACCCTAAATTCTGCACCCTAACACCCTAAATCTCATCAGGTACCCTAAACCCTAAACCCTAAATCTCAGATACACTAACCCTAAACCCTAAATACCTGAAACCCTAAAGACCTTCACGTGGCCCTTCACAGCAGCTAGCCGGTCTGCTTCTCCAGTCTCCGTGGGGCCTGGCATCTTTCAGGCTGCGCAGGGTGGATTATTTCGGGTTTAGGTTTTGGGGTTGAGCATTGAGGGTTTAGAGTTTAAGGTTGATTATGCCTAGGTTTTATGGGGTTTACACAAGGAAATAGAGGGATTATATGGGGATTACACAGGGGTTATACAGGGGTGGTATGGACTTTTAGGCATGCCCAAAGCCATGTCCTTTGACCCCAGAATAATGGGTATATGGTACGGGCCATTCTTTTGTGTATTTGGGAGGTCTAGGTAGAGTGGAGGGTTTGCAGCTGGCCGTTTGCCGTAGCGTCCATGGCGTAATAGAGTTAGAAGAGTCATGCAGCCGTTTAAGGTAGCGGAAAAGTATTAATATGAGCCATAGTCTAAACTCCTAGTATTCCCCTATATAACCCTATAGGAACCCCTTATATAATCCCCTATATAACCTTCTTTCAGGAGTTTAGATTATAGCTCATATGGGGATGCCAAGACAAAGCGCAGGACAGTTTGCGCAAAGCACCAGCCGTTTTTCGCCATGTGTGATCATCTGTGCCCTGTAGGTGGCCACAGGTAAGCAGCTCGTTGACTAGACTACTGGAGTGGTTGTTACAATTATGGTCCCTTTTTGGGTACCCTAAATATTAGGTGCCGTATTATACTAGGGATCCAAAAAAAGCCCATAATTTTGACAACCACCCACTGGGACAACCTCAACAATTTGCTGATGGCAGCGACTGTAGGCATGGTGCTGCTCTGCATTTTCTGCAGGTATAAGGTAAGTAAACTTACTGGGGCTTTGTAGGGGATATGGGAATAATTTGTATAGGGACTATTTAGGGATTATATTCCTTGTCCCTACTTAGAAGCAGAAAGGTAAGTAGAGGCGTTGCAATTGAAGGAGGTTATCAATGCATTCAGCGATGATGAGCTCAACTTGCCCAGCCTCTGAGCCAAACTATCTCTAGGTTCCCCAGTAACCCTTCATAATAAGGGTACCGTTTTTCCTGATGTTCAGCTTTAATAAGGAGACCCCCAAAAAAGGGGAAAAAGGGCAGTACTGGGGTACCTAGATCTGGAACATGCTCACCACTCAATCGCGGTGACTTTTGGCTTCAAGCTCATCAATGCGGCCCCGCAACCGGGCAACTGTGAAGCTGAAGAGGGCGAGCACGATGCCCGAGTAGAGCAAGTAGGCATTCCGTGTCATGCGGAAGAACTCAATCTTGTCTGCATCTGTGGGATGATCGGTCTTCATGGGTATCCTTGCCACGTCGATCTGCCATCTGGCATAGTAGTACAAGGTAGCACCCAGTGTCGCACATCGTCCAGGAAGGCTGTCCACCATCTTGAACAATGGCGTGAAGACAACTGCAATGACAAGGACGGTCAAAAGCCCGATGACGGCGTAGTCCGTTTTGTTGAAGATACCCTCAATAACATGAAGCACATCCACCATTGTGGCGACTACTGGCTTCGCGCCGTTCCTAGTCGAAGTCGCCTCATAAGCTTGAGCCGCCATAACGACGTTCTGACAACAATGGGCGACAATGCGCCGGCTATCTCTGTTGCAGCTGGTGTTGACGCACTCACTGTTACAAGCCCCGCCTGAGAAAGACAGGAGATCACTTGGAATCTGGTACTTGATGAAGAGCTGCATAAGCTCTTGGGTCAGCTTGATCTCCTCTACTCAATTGGAACAACAAGCCCCCGAGTCCTGAAGACGGGCATCACGTCCCATTTGTGTAATAGACCTTGCTCTATGGGCTGCCACTACGATGTGGTATACCCCGAAATACTAGTCAAGTTCTGATATCCACTTCTCCTCAGGAAGCTCACATGTGCGAAAGTATGGCTCGGACAAGAAATTTGCTCACGAACATCGCGGTTTCTTGGTATGCCACAGCCCGCAAAGCCCCAGCGACCCTAGCGTACACAGGTACCCCCAACGTGCATGCTACGGCACCTGCAAAACATGGGGGTTTCCCAAAATTGGGGGTACTGTATTGGGGGGGCCCATCATAAGGACTGTAGTATATTAGGGTCTATATTGGGGTCCCCCGATTTTGGGAAACTACCACATTGGTGGGCCAAACGAACTACATCTTTGGCGCAGTACCAAGTAAACAACTAATAGTTAGTACCGTCGAGAGTCCCTGTGACAGCCGCTACCAGTTTAGACTAATAGGGGGACCCCAATATAGACCCTAACATACTATAGTCCTTATTATAGGGACCCCCAATAAAGTACCCCCAATTTTGGGAAATCCCCATGTTCAGACTTTAGTTTCGCTCCGGAAGCACTCAAGCTGCACCTTTCCGTCCCTTTTTAATTGTTGGTGTCCCGTTATTGATTAAGATCATCGTATTTTTGGTCTCTATTGCGGTGTCTACATTGAGGTGGGACTATGTAGCGGGTCTCTCAACCCCATTAGCGTATTCAAGTGCTGCGTGGAGGAACATGGGGAGCGACATACGCGTCCTTCGTCAGGCTATCGCTTGGCAGATTCAACACCTGCGCATGGCTTAACTTACTGGAGCTTAGTAGGGAATGAGGGGAATGTATAATACAGGGATTGCAGGGATGACGTTCCCTTATTCCCCACTAACCACCAGTAAGGTAAAGCTATAGAAGCTCAGGCGATTCCATCTGGGTTGTGCATTGAGGGGAAAAGTATTTAGGACCCCGGGCCTCACATCGAAGACAGATGGTGTGATTTCGAATTGTTATTGCTTCTGCGGCTGAGGCTGAGAGCACAGCAGGCACACAAGCTCAGATGCAGGTGGTTCGACTCAGTTTATGGTAAACCGGGGAAGATTCAAGGATAACGTGGAGGGGGCCTTCTCCAGCTGTGGCTTTATATGGACGACCACCAGGCCGAACAGCGTGCTCTCCAATTGCATCCTGAGTCATTTGGTGCGGCGCCAAAAACTTTAAGCTTCTAAGATTTTGTCAGCTGCAGAGGCCCAGGCCGAACTGAAACCATATGCCTTCAGGCTTCTTAATCTCAAAATAGCAATAGCAATCAAAAGAATAATAAAAAATCATAACAACGACTGAGGAGCTTCTCTAAACAGGGGTCCCTGAGGGACCCTATAGAACATTCAGGAATTTCATGAAGGATGGCGGTTGTCTAGAAACTCTCTGGACCCTGAACCCTAAAGTTACATCCAAAAGGATTTTACAAGCTTACTCTGCATCGAGGACTTTCGTCTCCCCGCTTAATATACTACATGGACTATAGTCTGTACTCCTTAAAGGGGATTATATAGGGGACCATTGTAGGAGTTAGTGAGGGGGATACTCGCTGTTTAGAACTATAGCTCATATGGAAATCCCTCCCTAAACCCTAAAACCCTGAACCCTAAAACTCTTAAACCCTTAAAGCCCAAACCCTAAACCTTTAACCCATGGAAAGTACATGTTGCCCAAGAAATGGTCTGGCATCGAACGGATCGCTTTTGCGAACTTCTGCTGCTCGGGCGACAAGGACTCGATGGCATCGCGGAATTCCTTAGGGTTTAGGGTTTAGGGTTGAGGGTTTAGGGTTTAGGGTTCAGGGCTTAGGATGTAGGGCCTTGGGCTTAGGTGCACGAGCGACGAACTGACAAAGGAACGCCTGTTTGTCATGGACATAAAATAGATATAACACATGGTGCAGTGAAAATCGAAACAGTCGTCCTTCTTGTACATGGGAATAAGATAATGAAATCCCTATATAACCCCCATATAGTATGTTTCCTCATTCCCAATTAATTTCTAGTAGGCCTAAAGCAATGCGAGGGCTTCCTAAAATTGGGAGTCCCTCTTTGGGATGCCTGTGGCGAGAATGACAATTTGCAGCTTCAAGTGTCGCGTGGTGTTGGGATTGTTGACAGCTGCAGCGGAATGGACAGTTCGTCCTTGCTGCCAGGTAGGGGCAATACAGAATCCTAGTGCTATAGGTACCCCAGTAGTACCCTTTTACCCCTTTTGTTTGGGGGTCTCCTGATTAAAAGTAGCAGGAAAAAGGGTACCCTTCTTTATGTATCATTGCAGGCTATGTCGAATCGTCGTTTTAAGACACTACAGGAACCTGGCCCTAGTCTGAGCTTCTCCCTACCTAGCCTTGCAGGCACCCAAAGACCAGCAAGCGCTGCCTGCCTAGCTGCAAATCAGCGACTGAGCTTGGACATCGTATAGTCCCCCTTAAGTAGACAGAATATGGGGTATATGGGGATCTTATTATAATATACCCATATATGGGGATCCTATTATAATATGCCTATATATGGGGATCTTATTGTAATATACCCCAAGCCATAGTCCATCTACTTCAGGGGGACATCATACTTGTATGATGAGTTTTTGTTCTCGGCCTGGGCCCGTAAGCGTAATGTATACGAGACTTGCACAAGGATGATTGGGAATGATGCTAGTAGCTATTGGGTCATCTGCTTTCCTTATCTGCCAACCGTCTAAAAAACAATACAAACGCCACCAATAATAAAATCATAGCAATCTAGATATCAGTAACAATCCCTAAACCCTAAACCCTGAACCCAAATCTATAATCCCTGAACCCTAAACCCTGAATCCAAATCCATAATGTCTCAACCCTAAACCCTTAACCCTGAACCCAAATCTATAATGTCTCAACCCTAAACCCTTAACCCTGAACACAAGTCTATAATGCCTCAACCCTAAACCCTAAACCCATGAGAGCAATACTGAGCCAGCAGATCACAGCCTTGTTCTGCACAATGAAGGCGTGCTTGGGATCGAAGGCAGTTGACGAGATGACGCGTCCAACCAGTACAATCCTCAAAAGCTTTAGCTTTAGGGTGTAGGGTAAAGGGTTTAAGGGTCTAGGGTTTAGGGTTCGTATTTAGGGCTCAGTGGAAAATGACTTGAAGCTTGGGATTGTGGGGCAATCCCACTTCAGCGGGGCTGACGCTACCCCGCATCTATCTTTGCAGCTCTCTGAGGGGCCGTCTGTCCGTGAGCAGGCGCCATGCTCAGCTGCCACAAGGAACCAAACCGAACTTCATTTTGACCCTGTGAACTGATGCCTCTTGCGAACATCTACCAAGCCCATGTTCAGGTGCCAAGTTTCATGGAGCTGAACTGGCGAGCCCGCGAGAGCAGGGAGAATGAACTGCTGGACTGCCCAGAAAACCTGGTCGAGCGCATGCAAAGCTTGAAGGCTTAATCCATGGGTTTCCCTAAAACTACACCCCTCTACTAGACTGCTAGGTTGCCCTCAAATAGCGCTCATCATCCCTAAGTAATCTGAATTAATGGCTTGGGGTATATTACAATAAGATCCCCATATATGGGCATATTATAATAGGATCCCCATATTATATGGGTATATTATAATAAGATCCCCATATACCCCATATTCTGTCTACTTAAGGGGGACGGTA